TGTTAAGTTTTTGACCCTAAGAAACTCTAACCCCAAAAGCTAAACCCTAACATAACATAGTTAACTCAAACATAAATAATATTTTAAATAAAAGATACTCTCTCCGTTTCAGAATGTAAGTTGTTTTGACAATACTATGTACTTTTTAACTTTATTGAATATTGATTGACCACTAATATTTTGTAGTCTTTTATATGATTGGTCAAATTATTTTTATTAGATATATTAAATGATATTTTTTGTAAAAAATAATTTTTCAATATGCGTGTTTTTAAGTTAAACAACTTACATTTTAAAACATAGGGAATATGATATTAGTAGCATTTTTGAAAGAAAAGAAAAAAATGGTGACACTTTTAAAAAGTGACATCACAAAATTTGCATCTTTTAAAAATTCTAAGAAAATAGAGAAATTATGAAATAATAAAAATAAAGTGGTTGTTGCGTATACAAATTTTATTAGTTTCTAGTACAAATTCACACATGTTGTCTATAAATAGTTAAATATGTGCTTATTTGTTTATCTATCATAATCTATTCAATAAAATTTTATGATTTCGACATTTTAATAGGAGTTACTGATTCATGTATTTTAATTATTTTGAAATCTACGTAAAATTGTGTTATTGTATTGTTGAATTCAAAATTCATATCAAAGTCTTATGTTACTCATTCTAAAATTTTAAATGTTAGTTAAAAAATAAGTGTTATTCAATGCTAAGATTTACATAGTGATTCAATTTTTTTTTTGTCAACAACATTATAAACAATATTAGGACCAGTTGGTTACCTAATCTTGTAAATTTTTTCTTTTGCATTGTATTTAGTAGATTTTGAAAGATTTTTGAATTAAAAGTACAAAAAATCAAATCCGCTTTTTTTATAAAGATTTACGAAAATGTCTAAATTATATATTGGATGTTTCAGAGATTCATCTCTTGAAATGATTTTTGGGTGCACAAATTTTTCCACAATCAACAAACACACAAAAACCAAAAAAATACGATTGGAAGGTATTTCATGACAGTTCTCTGATGCCCATGTTAGAGAAAAGCAAAAAAGGCAGGATAATAGAGGCCACAGGGATTCGAGAAGAGTAAGGAAAAAAACGTTGAAAAACGTGAAGAAAAGGAGAAAAGAGTAACATTGGGCCAAACATGGGATAGTATGCGGCGTATCAGAACGTTTGGTGATAAAAAAATTTGATGAAGTAGAAAAGAAAAACATAGTATTTTTGGAGACAATCCAATAAAGGAACGACAGACAAAAAACAAAATTCGGGATGATTCAGAGAAAATCTTCTTAAAAAGCCATAAAAAAACTAAGAACTCAAGGGATTAGACCTAAGTCTCAAGTGAAATGGGATTAGTATCTGACATTTGGAATGAAATATGATCCCTTTATGAAAGGAAATAGGGAAGTATATATAGACTTTTTTGATCATTCAACTTAGGCTTGGATATTTGGTTCCACGTTCTTTGTTGGGCCGGGTTTGAATTATCGGTTTGATCCGGTATGAAGTATGCGAGTGCTTTTCACCTAACACCTCTGTCAATACGGTTCTGCATCACTGTTCATGATTTTCTTCGTAATAGACAAATAAACTCTTGTAAGCTGAGAGAATTTATTTTAGTTTTTAAAGCACGTACACCTATAAAAAGATCATGAAAAAAGGTCGACTAGTAAGTAAACAAAGTGACGAACTTTCATTAA